AAAGGGTGAGGACCACTGATTTACAGCAAACTAAGGCTTCTCTAACCCAGAGCCCTAAATTCTTCAACAGCTCTCCAACAAGCTAGTTGGATTATTTAGCAGGGCATGTGATGCTTTCCTTTAGTGAGACATGTAAATTAGATTAGGGACCTTGGTATAAGGAAATACTTTGTGTAACAATCAGTAAATATGCCTTTGTGTGGCTGTTTGGGGGTTCAGGCTGGACCTTCCTGCTGCCACGCAGGCCTTAAAATTTCATCTTGGAAAGCCTGGCACCAGTTCTGCATTACTCTTCTGGTTACCATGACAAAGCAATGAACAGAAGCAAGTTATGGGAAGAATGATTTATTTTAGCTTATAGTTCAAGGGAAATGGTCCTTTATGGTGGGAGAGGCATGGTGACTAGTTCCGTCGGTGACAGCCAGGAGCTCATGGCATACCTTATTATCTTGGAGGGTTGGGAAGTAGAAGGGATTAGAAGCAGGGCTAGGATACTGTCCTAGGCTTATGCCTAGCAGTATGTGTTTCCCACTTTGGACTTACACTCAAGGGGTTCTGCAGTCTCCCGAAACAGTGCCATTGGCTAGAGAACAAGTCCTCAAACGTGGAGCCTATTGCACACTAAGGCCCCAATAGTCCACATGCATACTTTTCATACACTCCCTATGCGATTCTTAGCGATAAGTGCTTAGAACAATGTGTTTCATCCAAATCACACAGTATTTCTTAATGTCTTCTGCCAAGGGATTGTGCAACTTGAACATCTCTGTAATGGGAACTCACAGAGCTGTAGGTACTGTCTGCCGTTGAATCTTCCTCTCTAGGGACCAAGCCAATTATTTCTCATCAATCTGGTACTTTTTTTTTTTTACTATAAATTATGAGCTTGCAATCACAACTAAAGTCATTATGCTTTCCATTGCTCTTGAATATGTTTAAGATGGAAGGCAGCCTCGTTGTCTTTTATAATCTTATTCTCTTACAACCTACATGCCTCTAATAATTCAACTACCTATTGCTGGCTTCCTTTTCTAACCTCACCACTGAGATCTTTAGGAGTCCATATTCAAGGTACACAACGCTGTATTTTCAACTTCAGTTCTTCATTGATATTTCGATTTCCAGCCCTTCTCTGGTATTTCCTCTTCTGTTTGCTCCAGCTGAATCCTGGCTTAAACTAGAAATTTTGTCAGTGCTCTTAACCTCTGAGCCATCTCTCCAGCCCCAAACTAGAAATTTTGTATGCAAGTGACTTGGCCATCTTAGAAAACATTAACTACTTGTTTGGTTGACTGCTCATGTACACACAAATAATACTGATGGCTGGCAATGTTTGGGGCCAGTAAAGGTTTGATGCTGGGAAACACCATGAAGGCTAAGGGGTCTTGTGTTTGGTAAACGTGTGTGAAAAGAGAACAGAGCCCCCCTGTGAGCAAACGTGGGACGTGGTAGATAGAGCTGGGACTTTACGAAGTGACCACTTCATTCTGGTCCCATAACTGCTTGTGCTTTGAGCTTGTGTTGACTGGAAGCTAAATTTCAGCCAGAATACTGATGAGGTGAGCTGGGCTGTTGTATTTATCATAGATCTTTGGATAACTCCAACAACAACAGATGAGAACTCTGATCTAGGAAGCGTCTCTTAGGGAAGTAATTTTAGGTCCTACAACACGCCCAGCATCTGTAATGAGACAGAGAAGAGCAAGTTCCTTAGATCCAGGGGTTCTGTGTCAAGGACTCAAGAGAACCCCCCTCCTTTTCTTTTTTGTAGTACTGGGGGTTGAACCTAGGGCCTTGTGCATGCTAGGCAAGCATTCTACCACCAACCTATACCCCTGTTCTGCATTTTACCTTTTATTTTGCCACAAGGTTTGACTGCATTTTCCCATCTGGCCTTGAACTCACAGTGCAGCTCAGACAGCCCTTGGACTAGAGATCTTCGTGCCTCAGCCTCCCAGGTAACTGGGCTGCCAGCTTATACCAGCATGCTCAGTGAGGCTGCCTGTTCCTGAGGCCAAGCATGGTCGATGGAGCTGTGGGAACATAATACATCGTTTTCTTTAATTCTGAATGCTTTAGCTCAGTAAGTGAACTTTTATTTAGAAGTTGTGGGTGTCAGGAGTGGCAACCATTTCTGGCTTTCTAGAGATGAAGTAGAAAACTAAACATCAAAATGAATAGCACAAGGGTCCCTGCCTCCCCATTTTCGTTTCTCGGTGCAGCTGAGACTACTGGTTACATGTGGAATTACTATAGTCGTCCCTTCCCCCCGGTGTGTGTGTGTGTGTGTGTGTGTGTGTGTGTGTGCTTGCGCACGCACGCGTGCGTGTGTCGATGTGTGTGTATGTGTGCGCGCGTGCGTGTGTGCGCGTGGGTGTGTTAAGAGTGAATGTATCCCAGGAGGACTTTGAACTTTGAACTTTTACTATTTATTTATTTATTTATTTATTTATTTATTTATTTATTTATTTATTTATTTATTTATTTTTTGAGACAGTATTTCTCAGTCTATCTCTGGCTGGCCTGGAACTCACTATGTCGACCAGGTTGGCCTTGAACTCACAGAAATTCTCCTGCCTCTGCCTCCCAAGTGCGGGGATTAAAAGCTGGCCTTGAACTTCTGCTAGGGGTGCAGGCAGGCAGCACTCCTCTGTGTTTAGTGGTGCTGGGGATGAGGATGGAACTTCCAGCATCTTTAGAGGGCACTCTACTAGCTGAGCTACGTTCCCAGCCCTCTTATGCTTGCTGGTCTTCCTTGCATAGCTTGGACCTGTAAACTGCTCACCGTGGCATCGGTGACAGATTACCTTTATGTGGTCCCTGAGCCTTGCTGCTCAAGTTTTACTGAAAAACTTTGGAATTGTGTTTTTGTTACTAATTTTTTTTATGTTGCTCAACCTTTAAAATCTTCTAAGAATATTATTTCAAGTGGTCCAATTTAAATGGGTATAGAGACTTATCTGTGTACCTTGTCAATTTCATGTGTTTCCTAACACCTGTCTCTCCCTCCCCATTTTCTCTGATTCGTTTTCCTTTTGTTTGTTTGTTTTTTTTCGAGACAGGGTTTCTCTGTGTAGCTTTGCGCCTTTTCCTGGAACTCACGTGGTAGCCCAGGCTGGCCTCGAACGCACAGAGATCCGCCTGGCTCTGCCTCCCAAGTGCTGGGATTAAAGGTGTGCGCCACCACTACCTGGCCTGATTTGTTTTCTTATCAGATTAGGTTACTTTTGATTTTTTTTTTGGGGGGGGGGGAAGAAACTATAAGAATCTATTAACAGACAATAAGCAGTATTTTTAAAGTTCCTGTGTATTTTTTGAAACATACATTACACAGTCCATTGCTCAACATATGTATGTAATTAACCTTGGGATCAAAGAAGGAAAACCATGCAAAAGAGATTTCTATGTATTTAGACGAAACCTGCTGTTTGACTCAATCATGGACGTCTTTGTATCATGGACGTCTTTTCACACCAGTGTGTGAATCTTTCTAGTCTTTCTATGACTTACTCAGTAGCATTGTGGTTTATTTGCCTAGTATTCTCTATCTTCTCTTGGGCCTCTTGTGGCCCAGGCTGGCTTTAAACTCCTATTCTTCCTGCCTTTCCCTCTGGGGTGCTGAGATTATAGGCAGGACCACACCTAGCACCCAATTCTCTTTTGATAAACATTTGGGTTGTTTCTGATGTTTCAATATTCAAGACAATTGCATTTTCATTCATATTTATTTGTATGTTTTTTTTTTTGTTTTTTTTTTTTTTTTTTTTTTTTTTTTTTTTTTT